TGAATCAGTGCTAAAACTCCTATTTTCTTCCACAGGAGCAAGACAAGGCTGTTGAGCAACTCTGAAGCCCTGCATCTCCCAAGTATTGTTTCTGTTGACGAATAATGCTGCATTCCTTGAAACTGGAACAGCCCTTAAGGCACTGATTCAGACAAGCACTAAAGCACCTTTTTCACTCATTTCAAGAGATAACATGTACTTATAGGAAAGCCTGTGATTTTCTGGTGTGCTGACTCAGGACCTTAAATATTTCTCATAAGTTCCTACAATAACAAGCAACTGAGCTAAATTTTAAAAAGTTACCACTCCTCAGCTGCGTATGATAACGAACCACACAACTAGCCTGCGGCAGATGTGGGGCATTTGAAGTGAACACTTCTCATTTCCTATTTTCCATGAGGTCCCACATGTTCAGGATTGGATCCTTTATCCCATCTGAGGGACAGTTGTTCCTTTAAGACGTCGTAACTTGCCTGCTGGAAACCCTAGGAAGCTTTTCGCCTTCCAAAAGCCTGCCAGCCTGTCTTTCCCACAAGGGACTGGTAACGTATGGTTTCCAATCATTTGGCTGAAAGAAAATATATAACTGCCTCTGAAACTTGCTTTGGAACAAGTAAAATTTGGGTGTCTCTTTTGCTGCTAGCTGCCAGAGCGTCACCTTACCTCCGTCCAGGAGGAACGGCATACCGCTCCCACCGGGACCAATGCCACTGCCACTCCATGGGCCACCTGCTAGCGGATGCTGCATAGAGATGTGGCTGGCACCTAGAGGAAGGTGGACGGAATATGAGGGGAGTTCATCGTCACAAACACAAAAAGAAAAATTGTCCGCAGTAAGACTTGCTAAAAAAAGGAAAAAAATTAAAAGCCACAACTAAAACCAGAAAAAAAGCCAATGGAATGCATAGTCTGGAAGTAAAAGACGGTGGGAAAAAAATCCCATCTACCAAAATGCAAACACCAGGGACTGACTGGATAGGATATTAAAATAAGTACAGTAGAAGAGCAATGGGCTGGAGTTCGTGCAGCTAACTCCCCATCACTCTTCTGAAATATTTACCCTCTCTCCAGCGAGGCCGATACCTTGCCTTAGGCCTGGTGCAATGCACGTGCCCTAGGAGAGCTGGGAGGTAAAGCGTGCCAGAAGCAGAGACACTTTCTTTGTACTTACTGCGTGGGCCGGAGCCAGCACCAGTGTCAAAGTAGGAGAAGAGAGAGTCCAGCTCATCAGGGCAGAAGAGGGAATCTCGACGGAACTTCCTCTCCAGCGTAGCTGCTATTTGACACAGAGAGATTTTTGAAATACATAGTTAACAACATGCAAATGAACAAGAGAGTTCCACAGCTGTATTTACACAGGCTGAGCTTGCATGTCCAACCAATGTACCCCAGATGTGTCCAGTGCCATACTCATGCCCACATACACCACCAAAATATAACAAAGAGCTGACCATAGGTGGGGATATGCTGCAGACCAAGTCATCCCAGAGCATTTTGAGCAGCCAGAACCCTTCAAAAGCATGGACTCTCTTACAGACCAGCCAGGTAAAAATAAAAGGATTTGAAACTTTTTAAAAAGCAGGAAGCTGCAATACAAAAGAAAATGCACAAAGCAAGCTTAGAAGTTGCTGGATCACCCTAGCATAATGATCTCCTCCTTTAGCCACAAGAACCTCCTTAAACAGATGGAAAATGTTAGGAAATGGTTCTAAAGACCTGTGTCAACACGGTTTGTGCAACAGCATTTTTGCTTATACCTCTGGCAGGGTGCAGGTCCTAGAGAAAGACAGGGCCACACATGTTATTAGGGCGGCTGCACACCTACAGAGAGTGGTAGGCAGGCCAACACAGCTCTGCAAGGGGAACGGGGCAAGGGAGGTCCCCACCTGATGACAACATGGCTGGGGATGCATTGCCTGCTTCGTGGCGGTACTTTCTACGAGCCGTGGGTGCTTTTGTGGTGCTGTTGTGTCTCTGGCACTTCTTCACACACCAGCGTCGAGGTTTCCGCTCATTCTCTGTTAGAGTCTCCCCGTTTGGCAGCTTCTTCAGGAATTTCTTCTCCACATACTTCACCTTGATCCAGGCTTCCTTGTCCTGCCTAAGAGAAGAACAGGATAAAGCTGTGCACATGGTCATGATTCGCCTGAAGCAAACAGCCACAAAGAGATGAAGCTGCTCTGGGTCATTTTATCAACCTGGCTTTGAGTCCTAAAATCACTGAGGCCTGTATTAAGAAGGGAGAGTTTCTCAAACCTAAAATCATCTCTCATTTCAAAGCAAAACTAAGAAGCACAGCACAGAGCTGCGAGTGGAATGTGACGTTCAGCCTTAGGCAACACCATGTGCTTCAGCCACGCATATTGGTAAAGTCTCAGAGCTGGTGTAAACCCAGCAAGCCCTGGTTCCCAAGCATGTTTCACCAGGTTCCTGGCTGGTGATGCCCCACTAACCCTTCTGAGAGTCAAGTTCAGGTGAGCTACAGAGGGAGTGGGCTGAGGTGGGGGTCCCTGAGGTAGTTTGGGCCTCCATGAAGGGCCAGTCACACTTTTAATCTGTCTTACCAGAGAGCTTGGGGTATTGGGTTTACTGTGTCGATGGACAGCTTTCCGTGGGACCGAGAGGACCAGTGTGTGCACTCAGACTCACCTGGAGCTCCCTGCTGTTGGTTTCTTGAGTCCCAATTCTTCACACTGTGCCTCATAAATCTGATTCATGGTACTGTTCCCCAGCTCACACATCAGCTGCAATACAACAGGGAATTAATGAAATCCTCAGGTGAGGAGCTACCTCCCCTCTAGTCTAGCTTGCCACCAGGTAAGACTCCCTCCATGTCCACCATTTGTCTATCGTTTGCCATTAAAAGCCAAAACTCACTTTCAGTAACTCTGGCTCCCAGGAATCCAGCGTGAGAGATCGGACTTTGGAGCAGTGGACACCCAGACTCCTATTTATCCAAAAGGAAGAAAACTGAAATGTTTACATGCCTCAAAACAGAACCACTCATGCGTCATAAGATGAACAAGATCAATCCAGTTCTTATGCATTTGTCTATACAGACATAGCTATAGCAGAGAGTTTTATGCATATGCCTACACACAGGTACCGCAGCAAGCAATTACTTTTTAATCTATCTGCACAGACATTATAATCAGTTGGAATTCAGGCTCCACCATTTTTTCCATGAGCTTGCAATCCATCCCTGGCTGGCAGCACAGAGCACACGTGCACGCAGTACCTGTGGATACCAGAGCACTCAATGCACAGCAGAATGCCCAGGTTGATACTGGCCCAGCGAGGATCCGGTTGGCCACAGTCACAGCACTGGTCATTCCCAGGGATACTCTGCACTCTCTGCAAGATGCTCTCTCCTTTCACACTGCGCTCCCGGGAGTCGGTAGCAGAATCAATGCTGCTGGTTGATGGGGAAGCAGTCCGGTCCAGCCTCTGCAGGAAAAAAAGGGTTCTAGGATTCTGCAAAGCACTGTGGAGCGAACCAGAGCTTTGCCTAGCAGAGGCATCGACAGGAAGCATTAACAGAAGAAGGATAAGCTAGGGCTAATCCAAGAGGGGAAGGGATAAAGCCCCGTTAATCTTTACTACTGCCACTAGACGGCACTGCACCCCATCCCTGCCCTGGGAGCAGCAGGCAGAGCATCATCTGGCAAACCACTTGCCATCACGGTGCCTTGCTTGCACTTCTCCCAGCTAGCGAGCAAGCTCTTCCCAGGGGAACATAATTCCTAGGGGAACATCAATCCAGAAAGTGATGACAAGAAAGTGAAGATGTCAGGACAACACTGATTTAAAGCCTTGCCTTCATCTCAGCCCAGCTTTGTAAGCATGGCTTTGGTTGGTGAACAATTGTTGCCTTTGAGTTAGCACTGACATCAGCTCCCTTCCTTGAGGGCAGAAGAATATTTTCAAATGGTCCAGCCACGCACACTGGACCTGCCACAGCCCAGAAGCCCACTATCAGGGCCCTAAGACACAATTATGATCTTTCATGACCCCCTCACTCACTTCAATGTAGTAGCTGTCAGGACTCTCCCGATATGCAGAAGCAATGCTCGCTTGAACAGCCTGAATCCAGGCCTGGCGCAGCTTCTCCGAGTCAGCCTGCAGCATGCAGCTCCTGTGAAGGAGGGAAATGAGTTGGAAAAATCAAAAGGAGAGAGTGCACCTTTTGGTCAAAACTGTTCCACTTCATCCTCAGCACAGACATTCCAAAGGGGGCAGCACCTTGATTTGACAGGCAAAGAGGCAAAAATTAATCCTACAAGCTCGCACTGTCAGAGGTGTTCCCTCTTCAAAACCTCCAGGCAGGTCTGCTAGCTGTTTTGAAAAGCTGACCATTGCCAGTTTTGCTGTCTATACGTACATTAGGTATGCGTGGCCTAGATCTGGCTTATGCTAATGTCTGATGAACTTCACAGGGACTCTGGAGTACAGGCAACAGTATCTCCCAGTTAACATTTAATAGCACAGGGCAGCATCTGCTCAAATCTGATCTCTTGCACAGTCCAGCTACCATGAGGATGGCCTAGGGAAGCCACCAAACTTACTTGGTAGGTGAGACGACCTCAAAGCAAAACCTCCTCTCTATGTCTTCACACGGCTTGACAGTACAGAGCCGCAGGTCTTCCACCACTACCGTGAGGACATCCTGAAAGGGTGAGAACATGTGGCTTTGTTGGCTCCCTGAATCTGTGTCATCACCAGGCCTCTCAGAAAACTCCTTCCCGAACCCTGCTGAGTCCAGGAAGAGCAGAGCCAGCCCACCACTGGATAACTCTAGGGCAATAGGAAGGAAGGGGTGATACAGAATCAAAGCATGGGACAATATGCACATGAAGTGGCAGGGTTATTGGGGACTTCACCAACTGCCCCTGCTGAAAAAAAAAATGGGGGACTTCGCCAACTGCCCCTCCTGAACAGGAGTATTTAGGCCAGCACAAACACCATCTGCTGCCACTTAGCTCTCAGTACAGCCTAACTCTGGAGCATAATAATGCCCGAATGGGCTTGCTGTCCCTCTGATCCAATTCCCCTCCCCAGTCTATCCACCCCACTCCCCCGCCACGGTGCAGAAGTCCCCAGCAAAGCAGGATACCCAACAAGTTGGCTCATCCGCCAGTGTCGTCTGGGGTAGCCTCACTGACCTTTAGCTTTTTCTGGTAGACCAGCTGACTGTTCTGTATGGAGAACCACCTCCTGGGGGAAGACAGACAGACATCAGAACATGTGAACAGCAGAACTACAGGGGCAGGATATCTCTCCATTTAAAGAGAGTATAATCTATTCCAAGAAGCTGGAAAGCAATGTCACAAGAAGAGCTCACACTTCTCCCGTGCCCTCCCTTGGAGAAGAAACAAAGGATTTACAGCCTTAGGGAACGACTCCTGGCACTGACATGCTGCGATGGCAAGTGTTCTAGATATGTCAGCGTATAACAAGAAGGAAGGAAAATCTGGAAGAAGCAAAGGAGTAGGGCAGTCCCACATTACTGCCTACAATTTCTGGGTCACAGGTCTGTGTATGTACACTAGCCCTGGTGTAGACAGTAAATCCAGTGCCTGTGGGACATGTTGCACTGGTTAGGGCATATTTGCATGTGTGCACAGTGGGCATACTCGACATTTACCAAGGAAGCTGGATGAGTTGCAGTTGTCATGCCAGATGCAGCGTGCCTGCTGCCTCTCCAAGCAGGCTGTCATAAGGCAAGCCAGAAAATTCCTTGACATCATGAAGAAACTTCCAGGTGGGAACAAGAAAAACCCATCTCAGAAAAGCCTGCTAACTGGCAGCTCTACAAATAGTGTTGGAAAAAATAATACGAGTTGCACATCTTGCTGTTGATATAGGCTATGCTACCCACCAGGCTGATTGCTCTGTACCCACCAAATAATGCCAAAGCTCCTGCTCCCTAGGGATAGAGTACAGATGGGTATGGACGGGTGTGTGTACAGGGAGCCTACCTTCTTAGGAGGCAAAAAATCACCAGCTAGCAGCTTTCCATTAAAACACAAGTGACAAAGTCCATGTGATGCTGATAGCAGAGGTAATTCCCTGGTGTCTTAGTCTTCAGTACTAAATCCAAACCCCCAAGTCACCTCCTCATTCCAAGATACAGCCTAAGATTTGGCAACCTGATCATCTTCATGGAGGGCAATGGAAACCATAACCATCACTAAGCTTCAGGAAGAAGGTACTGGAATACCTGAGCATAAGGAATCAGAGATGCTTGTAGCAAGATGTTATTTAGAGCATGTATTGTATACTCCATCTGCAAGAAAACCAGGTTCCCTCGGAAAACGAGATGAGACAGGGTTCTCTTTTTTTTGTCATCACTGAAATATTAAACAGATAAAAGACAACAAAAGGACTTGACATCTCTGTGGAGAAATGGGAAGATACAGGTCACTGGAGGCTGTCCCATCTACGTGGGAGCTGAGTTTGATGAGCCAATGTGGCTCTACGTCATTCCGAGCTGCTGCGACAGTAGCAGTCTATGCTCAAGGAGCTCTGCTGTCACATGAAGCTGAGTGGAAAATTTGTGTCTTGGATTCTGGTCTCTGCTCCGGCTCCTTGCAGCTCTGCTCTCCTGCTCACCACCCCAGAGCACACGTTCCTGGCTGGTGCTGGCTCCTAGCCTGAACCGTGGATTTTGCTGTTCTCTCTGCCTGCCCCCTCCCGCTCACAGGAGGGGGAGGCACCAACAGCGAGCATCTCTGTGACAGCGAGAAGGTGATGAGTAGGCTGTAGGAGCTGCAAATAGCTACAATGCGGGTAGATATGGCTAAGAGTGGGTGGGACTGAGACAGAGAGGGCTGCGGGGAGGATACAGACTGTATGGCTGGGATGTAGGAGGCTCCAGGGAGGATAGCCAGGATCTGGGGGACAGGGAAAACTCAGAGCCCTCGACACTAACATTACTTCAGACATGAGGAAATCCAGAATGTCCCAGAGGGTCGTGCTGCCTCCAGCAGAGGTGCCCTGGAGTGACCCTTGAATTCACAGCCAGAGGAGTTGCTGGGAGAAGGGAGTTGCCTGCAACCATTCCTCTCTATCACGAGAGTCAAGCACAGGCCTTGACATTAACCTGACACACTTGGAATGACCTTCTGCTCTGCAAAAACACGTGGTGTCAGTGAAGGCAGCCATGCTATGGATTGAGGCTACACTTTGCTTAGGAAACACCAAGCAGGAATCCTTAAAAGGTTGATAAAAAGTCAGCTAAGATGCCTTCCCAACACAACAGCTTGTGAGCGCTGAAATCAAACACTGCAATGCACTGTATTGTAGCTGCTGCGGTGGTTTCTGGTTCCTCCAACTTAGTATTTAAGTGTTAGAGAGCCTGAGTGGTAACAAAATTATACTACATTTGACTGGAATCTCCTTAGTACTAGGAGAAGCTTCAGAGAGAAGGAATCATCTACCCAATACAGATCTCTAACAATTTCAAGTCTTTTTCCCGTGCAAATACAGTGCACACCACAAACTGTTCACTGAACCATTTAGTGTTTATTTATTCCAAAGTGTAACAGCAGCACATTTCAGCCTTGCTTGGATGCATACGTTGAATGTATCCCACAGCCAAGTGAAAGACCTCTTAATACTGCATTAATTCCCTGTCATACGAGGAGGAAACGTGGGTCAAAAAGGCATTGATCTCATGCATTAGAAACTCGCATCCTTTTGCACAACCTTGTATGAAACCCATTGACTATCTCAAGGGAAACTAAACACACAAATATCGAGCAAGCCCAGAATATGAAACCTTTGCTTCCACTTTCCCAAGGTCTCTGGCAGCTGCAGAGACTCCTGACTAGCACAGGAGGCATATGAGCCTGGCTTTCCCAGTGACCTACCAGATGAAATATTTATAAGTTATTAAGAGCAGGATCAGTGCACAGAAAGCCATTTCTCAGCTCCCAGCAGCACAGTTGGTATTTCCATTCTCACATATCTCCCATCCCAAAATAGACAGCTTTGATACTCATGGCATGTCCTGCTGTGTTAGAGTATTTCTCTTAATTGTTATAGATTTACAGCTTTCCTAGGGCAAGGCTCAAGCTGCACTGCGCCCTATCTGCATGGAACCTGGTCATTCTTCCACTATGGAAGGCACTCTTTTTTTTTTTTCCTGGCATTTACTAAGATGCAGCAAAACATGAGCTGGTTCATTCCATGATGCAGCCTGAAAGGAATATACAGCTTGACAGGACAAAGGGTAATGCTTTTAAACTAAAACAGGGTAGGTTTAGAATAGATATAAGGAAGAAATTCTTTACAATGAGGGTGGTGAAACACTGGAACAGGTTGCCCAGAGAGGTAGTGGAGGTCCCATCCCTGGAAACATTCAAGGACAGGTTGGATGGGGCTCTGAGCTTCCTGATCTAGTTAGCAGTGTCCCTGCTCACTGCAGGGGGGTTGGGCTGGGTGACCTCTAGGGGTCCCTTCCAGCCCAAAACATTCTATGATTCTGTGATTCACAGCAAGAAGCATATTTGCTTTTGAATAGGAAAACAATAATCACTGGTGTAAACTACACAGCATCTAGCTCACTCTTTTAGTGATTAATGTACATGTCTCCAACACACCAATATCAGAGACCTGCAAAGGAAGTGGCTCTGCAAGCTCAGCACAGGAGTTACAATGTGCTGGTAAAAAATTTATGTGGTCTTAAAACACCATTGCAATGAAGCAGATGCTTGCTCCTCTTTCGCTCTGAGCTGACTTGGTGCCACATAGCCAGGTGAGCGTGTTGGTAAGGCTACATTAATCTCTCCTGAGATACTGGTGCTCTTGGGAGGACTTGCTCAGATGCAGTTATGTTAACACAGCTTCAGGCTCTGATCTTACTTGCAGCCGACAGGTTTTGAGCAGAATCAGAGTCTCTTCACTTAAAAGGGACCTCTTCAGGTCATTTAGGCCAGCCCTCCTGCTCAGGCAGGGCCAGCTAGCGCAGGTTCCCCAGGACTGTGCCCAGGTGTTTCTTTGATATTTCCACAGACAGAGACCCCACAACTTCTCTGGGCAACCCGCTCCACTGCCTGACCATCCTCACAGTAAAAAAATGGCTGCTTGTGTTCAGGTGAAATTTCATGTTTTTAATGTGCGCCCATTGCCTCTTGTCCTGTTGCTAGGCACTGCCGAGAAGCCTGGCTCCCTCTTCTTCATTCCCTCCCATCAGGAATTTGTACACATTGGTAAGGTACCCCCACAAGGCTTCTCTTCTCCAGGCTGAACAGTTCCAGCTCTCTCAGCTTTTCCTCATGAGAGATGTTCCAGCCCCTTAATCATCTTCATGGTCCTTCACTGGACCCCCTCCAGTGAGTCAGTATCTTTCTTGTGCTGGGGAGCCCAGAACTGGACCCTTTACTCTAGATGTGGCCTCACCGGTGTGGAGTAGAGAGTAAGGCTCACCTCCCTCAACCTGCGTGCAAAATACTCCTGAAAGAAAAGTCTCTGTATGCAGAAACTATCAAACCAATCTCATTTTAACTATTTAGCTTTTAACTACTTAGTTCAGAGTCCTTCCAATGATAGAAACAGTTGCTAAGATCTCACTAAAAGTGAAGTGTGTTCCTGCGCAGGCAGTATTAGCTGTGTTCAGAGTCTCAGCCCAAATACGAAACGGAATATGAGTTATTACTCACCGATTCCATGTTTTGAAAGCATTGCTAGCTCTCTTGAAGAGGTAGCCTTCCATCACCACTCCATTTGGGGCATCAACGTTAAACTCCACCTTCGAGTCATCATAGGAGAAGTCCTGCAAATAGAAAGAAACTGAGACTCTAACATGACTGCACTCTAAGGTATTAAGATGGAGATGAGCCTAATCAAAACATCAAGAAGAAAAAAAACATCTATGTCAAAATCCTAAGGTAAGCAGAGCTGTCTGTCACAGCCTATCCCCATGCCTTGGTGGGCTTCGGCCATGAATAGCAGTCGTGAGTTATCCTTGTTCCAGTAAGCTTATCTGTCCTTACTGTTTGCAGGGAAGTACTATACATGCTGTATATATATGCTGCTGTGGTAGCTGACAAGGGGAAAGGCAGGCAGGTTATCATCATGAAGGCTAAAAATTCCCAATATCTGGGGCAGTATGCAGTAGGAAATAAAGGAATAGAGGTGCTCTTCACTGGCTGAGTTAGCAGTGCTGCTGCCACCTCTCTGTGCTGCAAGGAACCAAGAGCAGAATGAACCCCAGCCTTTTCATGCAAGGAAAAAAAGGCATGATGATTTCTAGAGGGGAAGACTTATCAATTCCATTTTCATTAGCTATCATCACATGCCATCTCCAATCTGCGCTCACTCAATTCTCTATGCTATGCTACCAGTCAGAACTGATTTGTCAGGTTTGGCACTGATTCATCAGATAGATCTCATGGATTCTGACAGCTGGCGAGCAAGACACAGAGCGGAGAGAATAGCAGCTGCTCTCACAGAACAGGGGATCCTTCTCCCTGGGCAATGGTCTGCCTCCTTCCCAAGAGAAACTAGGTCATGAAACCTAAATGGCTTTCCCCTCTAACCTGGGGAACTAAGGCACATTGCCTCTTTGCACACAGATTCCACGCTAATAATGCATTCTACCCACACCTCTCTCCCTTTTGAGCACAAGTATTTCCCCCGTACTACTTGGTTCAAAGACACAACAGTGCAGTGAAAACAGCCCCATTAAGTTAAGTGCCTTTCCTAGCTCAGCATATGAAGACCCTTGCGATGCTGTGTCGCTAGGCAACATGCACTTCACTCTCATTAAGATGAGTTATTTTCATGTTCAGAGATGCAAGCTTGCCTGGGAGGTGTCATAAGAAGAATAATACTGATACAGAAGGAGGAGATATAATGGGACAGGACTGAGTCATTCCTTGGAAAGACAGCATGATGCCCAATTAGACACGAGAAACGGCTGCAAGGCACACAATTAAGAGAGGTCTGCTCAGCCCCAAATTTTCTTGCCATGAGAGAATGAATCCCATGGGGGTCCTCTTCTGCAGATGTCTTTCATGTACATATTACAAACAAAGGCTAGAGGGAATTTTCCTCTAACTCACAGATATGCGAATGCATGATTTTTATAGAGCTGCTGCAAAGTGACAATTCTATAAGTTTGATGAGGATCGGATCTGCACTGTTTTATAATAAATTATGCAAACATCCAAAAATCTGGACCCTGTTGAAAAGTACACAGTAAGTGTAGGGCAAAACCCTTCCAAGCATGTCTTAAAAATGACCACTTCGCCATGCCTCTCTGTGGAAGAGGTAAAAATAAGGGGGAGGGTCTAAATATAATCACCCGACTTCTTCAGCTGTCCTTACACCATCAAGCAGTGCGATGGTAAGGAGGATATATTGTGCAGGAGGAACAGATGGGCCATATGCGTCACTGGAGTAAATCCACTAAAAACCAGTGGAGTCAAGCCAGGTGTGAATTTAACCTCATTGAGTCTGTATTGTATTACACCTCTCTCCAAATTGAATGGCTAAAGAAGGACGGCTGAAGGCACATGGAGTTGTTCCTCGCCTTTGAAAGAACTCTAACATGCACCAAGCCCAGTTTTAGAAAGAGAAAATTATACACCAAGCCACCAAGCACATGTACAGCTAAGATGACAGAGCCATCTCCATGATGTCCAAACAGAAAGACATTGCTGGGAAGAATGGCTCATGTTTGCATCGCTTTGAAGATGCTTCCCTTCCTTGTTTCTCTTATTGGTTAGGAAACACCCCCAGGCCAAATTCTGCTCATTTTTCTGCTGGTGTAATTCCTGAGCCACTCCACTGCTAGCAACAGAACTACTGCAAGACAGTTGAGGGCAGAATAAGTCGACCAGAGCTGTAAGCTGGATTTGTAAAGTAGATACAAATGAAGGGAGAGATCTGAGGGATAAGGACCAGTCTGCCTCTTATCCCCGGGGCATTTGGCCATTTGATGCTCAGGGGCACTTTGTTCCATTCCTTTGCGCCCTGCTTGGAAGCATCTGAAGTCTTTGCTACAAAGTGATTGAGAGTGTTAAGAGACAAATGAAGGGAAAGGGGAAGGTGGAAAAAAATGCAGAAATTATCCCTTTGATCAGTATATTTTTCCTTTCACTGCCAGGCAAAGGACAAAAGGGAATCATACAGAAGTGGCCTGGTAGCTGAAAGGCAAAATCATGGCAAGTGCAATTGTGAAGCTTCCAGCACACTAGAGCAAGCTTAAACTATGGGGTTAAGGAACGGATTCCCAGGCGCATCTTCTTGCTGTAGCCCATATGGGGAACTTTCTTACCACAGCCATTGAAAAGCGAGGACAAATTTCTGGAAAGAGTTGCAAGAACATCTGTTGAAACATGATTGCAGGTCAAAGCTAGCTTAGAAGCTGAGCAGATCATCTTGCCAATGGTTCTGAAACATCATGGTCGTGTGTGGCCACAGCTGGATACACACAGATGTGTGACAATGAATGCCCTTCATTGGCAGACCTGCCCTTAACGTGTCCCTGTACCTGTTCTATTCATTGACACAGATTTAGATCCTGTTAGTTCTGGGAAATAAGTTGAAGGGTCCTGGCTGACGGACACAGCTCCTGCCAAGCACATCGGTTAAGTCTGACTCTCACAAGGGATGCAGCACATCTGTGTGCTGTCTGAGTCCGCACAGAACTAGCAAATAAAAACCTTCCAAGCTTGCAAGCCAAGTGCTTGTGGAGAAGGAATGTGTCACCCATTCTGCAACATTGGAAGTAACTTTCTTGGTTCAAATCTTACCCTTAAAGCAGGGTAAAAGAATGCGCACGTATGCTTTCTCTTTTCCCATTTCCTGCTACACGTGAGATTTGAATGCATGATTTCAATAAACAACCTTTTACTGAATTCTTCCCATCATTGCAATGTACATGGGGTAGGCAGGTCTGCTCTAAGTGTGTTTGGACTGATTAAGTCTGCATTTAGCACCTCCTTGTCTCTGTAATATGAAAAAAATGCTTGACATGGAAAAGGCTTCCTCGGATTGGGATCTGAATGGCTTTGGCTATAAGTGCATATGCAATCATGATTAGCAACAGCAGTGACACGTGGGATCACACATTGGTAAAATAAATCAGACATCTTCCAAAAAAACCCCAGATCTCTGCCATCATCTGCTTCTCTTCCCTTTAGAGACTTTCAGTAAATCACACCAATCTTGTCTCACTGTCCCCTCCCCTCCTCAGCCCTGTCACTGAGGTTACACACATGGCTGCCTGGGAACTGATATTCTTTTAGAAATGACATCACAATGGTTTCCATGGAAGCACACTGAATGCTGCTGAAGCAACAATGAAGTAACACATTCCGAGAGACACATCCATAGGGATGCGAAAAAGGACATTAACCTGGGCACTTTCAAACCAGCAAGCGGAAAGCAAAAACCCAGCACAGGCACAAACCAGACCCGTGAAAGAAGAAAAAGAGAAAAAAAAAACCAACCCCCCCTATTTGAAGGTTGCCTCATGGCCCACTCCGTTAAGAACTCCCTTCTCCACCTCCACGCTGCAGGCACAGAGGCTGCTTGCATTGCGGAGGCCAGACAAGCTCTTCCAATTGCTCCTGTGAAGCCAGCTTTCACGCAGAGAAAATGGCTGATGAAATGAAATAAGCCTCCAGCTTCAGTGAACAGACTTCATCTGAAGAGTGAAGATGCCCCTCATTAGCCTGGAATTCTTGAAGGGGGTGGGAGTCTTCCAAGTAGGGAGCCCTGCCTAAGAGCACGCCCATTGAAGTAAAAAAAAAAGTCTTGTTTATAGGTTCATGCCTATCCCAAAGAGCACAACACCTGGCTGAGAACAGATAGAACCTTTCTCTAAAATACCAAGACTTCCTTAAAAGTCTTTAAAATACAATCCCCATGGCTATGGCCCTCCCTGAAAAGCCACAGCATTACTCCCTTGGTGTATTGATTCAATGTGGAAATAATGACACTGTCCTTTCTGTACAGTGTTGTGATTTCTACTGACAGAAAACACTATCAAAACCAGGTGATCACCACCAGTGAATCATTTCAGTCCAGGTGGTTTTAGGTATTCAGAGAAACATATCTTAATACCAAACCCCCCCATGATATTTTATTTTCAATCAATGCCACTTAGGATAAGCAACACCACATGCGACACATGCCTTCCCTCAGAGAGGACAAAGGCTTTATCCAAAAGTGCCCTCTTTACTTAAGTAAAGAACAACGCTCAGCATTTAACAATATTACGTAGACTCTAACAACATCCACGCATCAAAAAGAACTTCTCCTGGAGGCGAGTTAAAAGCTGTATGTGGCTAGCTTGGCTATTCGATTCTAAAGAGAACATAATTCACAGGAATATTTACATTCCCTGAAGATGCACACACCCCCCCTTCCACACAAGCGCTGGTGCATGCACATTCTGTTCTCTTCTGGTGCCTGAATACATTTCAACCTTTTCTCTATCTGGCTATTTTTACCTCTGTGCATCCACTGTGCACAATCCAAGACCCTCAGAGGCAGATGGAATTTGGAGGAGGGCTCTCCCACCTACATTCCCGTTCTGCGCAGCTTTCATTCATTCTGGCCAAATCCCACTTACAGACCTTTTGTTTCTTGAATTTCCTAATGCCAAATGATCTCCCTGCTCTGCAGCTTGCCAGCAGATAATGCACAGAGATCTGTGCCCTGCCCCAGAGCTTTTCCATCCCAGAAACAGAATCAAATGCATTTGCTCTCCCGCAGTAATAAAGCTGTACTTGCTTTTGGGTCACATCAGCAAGCAAGGTCCTCCAGGCACAATCCTTGCTCCCCCAGGGAAAAGTGCCCTCTAAACTTTCTCCCCAAGTCAAACCAACCCTGCAGGAGTCTCCTTACCAGGAGGTATTCAAGCCTGCCGAAAATCTTCATGATGCCAGCTGCAAGGGAGGTTTTGCTGCTCTCGCCTAGAGAGCAGGGAGCAGCTCTGTGTCCTCTCTCTCCGTTCGCTCTCTAGAGCAGCATCTCTGCTAAGCACCGTGGGCTGGCAGGGAAGGAGGGATTTCTTTTTCAGCCCCTTCTCCTTTACCCCTCCTACTCCTTTTTGGGGAGCTGTAAGCTCTGCCCTTGGCTCCTGTCAGTGCAAGGGGCAGTAGGCAAAGGAAGGCTGCTGGCCTCTGGGGACCACCTGCTCCCCCCCCTCCTGCCTCCTATTCAGAGTCAATCAGCTTAGAGCAAGGGCTAATTACCATACAGCTGCCATGGAGGCACAGAAGGGAGCAGGAAAAGCCAGGCAACACCCAGCCAAGTTGACAGGAAGATGCTCACCAAACGCGTCCCTGACCTGAACAGAGCCAGGCTTGTCCACCTTCAGCTGGGTCTGCATCCCCCAGCATCCTGGAGCAGGGCCACCCTTTGGCCAGCAACTCCACCCCTGCTCCGCTGCGGGCACAGAAAGCGGGGTGTTGAAGTGCCATATGGCCCCAAGTTTGTTATCTACCAGCTGGACTAAATGAGGCAGAGCGCTCTGCCTTGGCACTCCATCCTCCTTGCCGGTGCAAATGGGCAACAGCGGCACAATTCCTTCCCCCGCTGCTCCGGACCGTGGAATAGGTATGAGGCTGCAAAGGAGCTTTTATATAGCCCTGTATTCTTCCACCTTCAGAAATGGGCCTCTCAGTTTTGGTGCAGTGGAAGGATTCAGGAAAGTCAGGATCTGAGAGGGAGGAGACGTTACCATTTCAACATTTATGGTAACGTTCATGGTTTAAACGTTACCATTTCTCTCCTCGTTTCCCATTGGAAACAATTCCTAGGCCTGTGTGTTCCAGTGCTAAGTTCTCAAAAATTTTTCTCCTAAGCGGTCCAACCTACACCAGGCCCCGTGTGTCTTTGTGTATCCACCTGAAGCAACTGAGCACATATAAAAACACACAAGCTCATTACGTGCATGGTTTAAGACAGTTTAGTTCAACACACAAGAGAAACGTGGGAAGCAACAAGACTCCTCAGCCTTTAGAGAAACATATTCCATGCTGCAGTCCTTGCACACACGCATCCCACACACAGCAGCACTCCCAGCCCTCATGCTGAAGCTCTCCTATCTCATTGCACAACAGGAGGATAACTCAAATACTTATTGCAGCCCATAAAAATTGAGAGTCTTCCTTTCCTCTTGCTGGTTTTATCAGGACCCGTTTCACATAAGTGAGGATTGGTTTCATATGAAGCGTGAAGCTGCAAATGGTGCTCTAGGGTTTTGGAGCTGGGAAGGCAGAGAGGGCAGCAGTTAAAATGACAGCTTGAAATGATGCCCTAGGAGTCTGACCCAAAGGTGGTAGGTGTTCCGTGAGGGAAGATGGGGAAAAGGTGGCATAGGAAAAAGGCACCTGAATCCCAGCATCAAAGAAAATAGTCAAAATTTGTGCTGAGATTTTCCTCTCCTACCAAATTTATTTTAATTAAAACAATAATGAAACAAAATGCCACAGACCACTTCCTTACGGACTTAGCCCTCAGAAGGCTGCCCCCCTCCCTGACTCACAAAGCTACCCAAAGACAACTCAATGAGCAAGACCCTATCTTCAGAACCTGCACAGCTCCCCCATTCCAAGAACACTTCAAAATGTATTATTTAACCTGGATTCCCTCCCCTTCTGTCATGCCGTAGCAGGCTGTTTGGGAGGACACTCTGTTGAGGAAAAAAGGATGCTTCTGCCACTCCCCTCAAATTAAGCACAACTAAATCTCCACATTTTTCAAGAGACTGGAGAGTATTCCAGGCTCAGCATGAAGGCATATATTCAAATACATGCTGTACTCCCTTTGGAGATGATGAGATGCTCACCAGATGCAGGGAGCCACGCTCCATTGCAAAGGGAGGAGCAACACCGACTTGGAGTATCTGAAAAGCAGCCTCATAACATTTCCAGGCAGGAAGCTTTAAATCCTAAATTGAAGATGTTCAGTTCTCTTACAAGCTTATGCACAGAGCACCACAGCTCTAGGCATATGTATCCTGATGAAGAGTAATTGCTCGTCCTCCCTCTTGGAACCTGACCTCTGCTGCATTCCCTGCTAGTCCAGTCAGCAAAGCCACATAAAGAGATTTAACTGAAATGCCCCGCACTAGAGAGATTTTCCATGTTCCCTCGAATGAAGTCATCACTCCAGCAGCATCCCAGGGGAACCGAGAGTTCACAAATGGATTTACCCCTCCCTCAGAACACTTAACCGAAGGGAGCATATGCACAGGCTGATTCACAGGGAACGTCTGTCATTAGCTTTCAAATCTGGTTACGTTTCCATTTCATGGGTTATGACATTTTTGAGAGAGCACATTAGAAAGAAAACAATGGCCACTTAGATTCCTCCTGCTGAGAAGTATTGATCCACACAAACGCCTGCCAGATATGGACTCCTTAGCAATTCCTACTCAGGGCTTGGTTCATGAAAAGCTCTTTCTCAGGGCTCTCCGAAATCCCCTCTTACTGTGCCCACAGAGCAGGAGAGCCTATATATGTGTGTGTACGTTCAAGGTCCAAAGCCCTCTGTTATGAGCCTGTGCAGCCAATTCACCTCCCACCAGACCACCCATGGTCCTCAAAGGCTCCTGGGCACCAAATGTACGTTAAGCACCAACCAAGCACTGCTGCCGCTGCAACACCGAACTCCGATTCAAGACTGACCACCATACAGAGTAGAGGGGAGCTGAAATCTTACTTTAGCACAGGACTGAAAACAACTTTGATGAGGATGAAACCAAACTCACTTGAAACTGGGCTTTAAAATTACATCTCCAGTGTTCAAGTTACAGCACTAATGCTACGGTGAGGTTTCTTTGTTTTGCTTTCAAAGGCAGGACTTAGTAAACATCCAGAGCAGCAAATTCTGAGCAATGAAGATGCTAGAAGAAGGAAATACATGTGGGTACTCACCTGCAGTAAGGTCTGCAGGGGCAGGTCAGCAATCCATGAAGAAGAGAAGGAAAAGAAAAAAATTAGTCAATGTTTTTACAAGCCTCAAATTTGGAATCATTCCCAGATGAATGGTCTGGAAATATTAGAGCCCACATTAAGCCAAGATGCCTCCCTACTGAAGGCTCAGACTTGTTTGGTAATAAATCCCATTATCTTGCCAGCTCACAGTGGTTACTCCCAATTACAGCAGGTGAGAGCACACACACACCGTGGGTTACCATAGCTCAGCTGAAAACAACAGCTTGCTCAGCCATGGCAGCTCTGCTGCTTGGTTCCCCAAGGACCTTTCCAAAGTTACGCTGCTCAAGGCTGTAGCCACATCACGGCACAGGAGCTAAGCAAGAATCATCTGAACTGCAGTCTGGAGCAGACTTGCATGAGAAGTTCACTGCAGCACACTCCTCTCCCAAAAGCAGCAGAGTCCTGCTCACTCTCCCCGACGACCCATTAACATCACTTCAGTAAAGCGCGAAGTTCCGTATCAATGACGAAAAGGCCCTGCAGCAAGTCCTGTCTGTGGGTACCAAAGGGGTGCATCCACTTATTTGTCTGCTGGATGATTTAACAGGGACTCTGGCCACCTGGTTGGGCTGGGCTGCCTCACTGTGGGGCAAGGCAGCCAGAGGCAGGGAGGAGAGTCAGAGGGGACATGCTAGTACTGCAGTAGCTGGAGATCATAGGGCTTACCAGAGAAAAGCTGGCTTGCTCAGCCAGAGGAAGGATGCGAGACTGGGGGAGAAACAAAATGAAAAAGAGAGAGAAGGTGGGAGAAGGGTGTTCTAACCTCTCCCCAAAAAGTAGCTCTGCTATGCAGTCAAGTTGTTTTCACAGGCCATTACAACTACATCCACTCCTCAATCTCAGAGCCATTTACAGAACATGAACTTTTAAATCTTCCCACACTCTCAGTAGCAAAGACGACGACAAAGCATAGAAGGACAGCTTGCTCAGAGGCAGAGCTGGGAAAACAACCCAGGTGCCCTGACCCATGGGGTCCTCCCTGTGTCCCTCTCCCTTGTGTACCCAGATGTGCCAGTAGCTGAATGCCCTGCATTTGATCTCCCAGCATCCAGGAGGTTGATTACTCTCATCTCAACAATTCTGCTGCCGCTCCAGGCTGTGAAGGACTAACCCAGCAAGGGCCCTCAAGTGGCAGTTGCCACTGCACTGATAGAGAGAAGTGCTGCTTGCACCAAGCTGCAGCCCCAGGACTCACCCTCTGCTGTATCAGCGCATGCTTGTGCTCCATCTCCCTCTTCTCCACTGCAGAATCAATCACCAGCTGGTCCAGCTAAAGGCGGGGAAGAGAACACCAGGCATAAAATTCAGAAAGGAGGTTTATGAGCCACTGTCCATCTTTGCTTCCCTGCTCTGGGATTACACCAGCCCTACCTGAAGTGAGAAGTCCCCACAAGAGGGGGAAAAGGACTATGTTTGGATATGCCCTGGAAGTAGCCATAGCTCTTGGCTGCCACCCCGCAGCACAGCACGGCTTGATGAACATCCAACAAGCATGATGCTCTGACTGCCCCCTGATTACCAAGTACAGTAGGTGAATAAGAAAGAGGATGTCCTTTCAGGGTGAAGGGGTACAAACAGGCAGCTTGAGTCAACCATATTCCCTGTCCCCTCACCTCTGTGGCTAGTTTCTTCATGTAGGGATCCAGTTCATGGAGAAGACTGTAGCCCTGCTGGAAAAAGGTGTACTGGGCATGCATGAAGGACAGCATCTGGGGAGGGAAACAACAGCAAGGTCAGAACAGGTTCCAGGACAAAGTGAGTGTGAAAACTCCTTATCCCTTATTACCCACAAAGAAGTCTCTTCAAGGTCTAACCCTTTCCCTTCCCAAAGCAATCTATCCATTAGATGCCTCTCCCTCTTCTCCTTTCTTCCTATCGCAAATCCTTCCACACTGTCAGGCAACCCCTGTTGTGAGCACAAAGCAGTAAAAGCAGCGTCCTTCACCCCTGAAAGTCCCCTCCAGCTCTGGCCTGCGGAGTATCTTGCTGGTCCTTCGTTCTCCCCTCTCGTTAGCATACCTGCAGCCCCCAGAGCAGTCCCAGACAGTATCTCCAGGGCAGACCGAGGAGTCAGTATGTCGACCCATGCAACCTGAAATGGAGAGGGCTGCCTTTCATTGAGTCACTGAGAGCAGCCACAGAAAACACAGAGAGCCCTTACCGCATCCAGTATTTCAAACTTCTTCTTGGCCTGCAGGACGTTGATCTGTGAAGGAATCAAGATAAGACTCTCAGCATCAGCAGCATTAAGCAGTTTGGCATAGAGATCTAAGCATGAACAACTCGCTGCAATACCCCTAGCAGCGAACGGCAAACTGCTCAAGGACAGTTCCAGAAAGTCAGTTTCTGAAAAGACAGTTCTGTGAGTTCCAGGTGGAATAGCAAGGGAAACAGCACAGATGCATTTTCCAACCTGCACTGCTAACGACAACGGTCACTGCTGGGTGTGTGTACGTAGGCTAACAGTGACCCCCAGAGTGCAATTAGGTATCAAATGAAGATGTTTAAACAGTCAGGTCACTGCTTTGATTTCTCTTAGCAGGCTGAGAGGTACCAGTGTAGTGCTGCTGGTTTTTTTCAGTAATCACAGTGAAGCCAGCCAGTTAATTGTGGTACCGGATGGGGGGGCTATGTTCTCTGTGTGCACACCCTTTGCACATCCATTTTTCTTAGAGAAAAGCACATGGCTGACTGCCCCAGAGACTGTCACATCCCTGTCACACAGAAGCAGCAGTAGCTCAGGATTTCCTGTACCAGCCCTGATGTGCTTGGGCTCCTGGAGGCCTTCCGGCACATTCAGGCTTATACCTCTTCCCTGGCCAGGGAAGAACTGCAGTACCTCTTGCAACAGCAAGATAGCATTGCTTTGGCAATGCACCCTGCTACTGCAAAAGAACCAGTTTGGAGCATTTACTGTGAGGATAGGAGAGCCTGGCCATTCCTTGAGTCCTCCCGCAGGTGCTCAGCAGAGAGGTTGTTGAAGCCCATGTTTGAGACCTCACAGTTCACCACCTGCATCTTTGATCGGGAAAGTCCCACCTAAAATCCCTACCACAAAACCTTGGCCACAAGGCAGCAAGGTGCTATGCCCTGATTCTTTCTCTCTCTCCAGTACTGTCCTATGCCACTGGGAAAAGTACCAGTATACTAGGTAAAAAAAAACCCAAGACACCACCAACAATAAGGACTGGCACTAGTAACCCTGCTTTATATCAACAGACAGCTTCAGCCCACAGCAGTAACTCCTCCTGCCCATTTACAGCCATAAAACAGCCTCTAAAATAATGAAAATGTGCTACATTACAGTGAAAAGCCTTGCCCTGAACTGTGCTTTACTGGGTCCTGGTCCTTCTGGCTCTCTTCAAGGTGCATGAGTAATCCTTAAAGGTTGACCATGCCCATTTCAGGCCTGTTGACAAAGTCAAAGACTAGGAAGATGAGTTCTGCAAGATGAGAAAGGGGCAAGAGATCCACAAAACAGCGTCTGTCTCTGGAGGCTGGAGAGAAAGCAGAGGATGCTGACTGGAAGATTTTCTGCATCTAAGCATTTGCACAAGGACCAACTGGGACTTTTCTGCCAATACAGTGCCCCCCATAGCTGATTCTGCCATGGCAAATAATGGGACTTGATTTTTGCTGTAATCCAAGTTGCCCTTTTTTCCAGCTACCTGAGTTGGGATTTGCAGTGGGAGAGCTTAACTTACTGCCATTAGAATATAGTTTTAATTCATTATGAGGGGGTGCCCTTCAGTTGTATGGACATTCAGGGTCAGGAAAAGATCTCCTTCCAGATACAAAAGAATAAAATAACTCTCCTCACTATATCCTTAACTAAATACCAAAGGACGCCTGGACAAGTTCATCTCTATGCATTTCAAAACTGATGGCTTTAGACTGGTACCTTGCAGTGGACCAACAGGGAAACCTCCCCAATATTGGATCAGCACATTAAAGGACTCTTCCTCTTTATCAGTGGGAGAAATGGATGGAGCTTGCTACAGTGTGACCTTGCCAGCAAATGCAGTTGCATTCATGTCTAAAATCCTAGATGCAAAAAATTGCAATCCTAAAGGAGGATCAGCAATATGCACGATTTATACTTTAAGGGGAAAGCATTGCCTTCCTATCCACAGCTGCCAGAGCATGAGACATTAGACAGAACGTGTTGGTAGATGGTCTTAGTTCAGTGCTGCAGGACTGACAGCTAGCAGAGACACACATGGATCAATATTAACACTAAAGTTGTCTGCTTAATATACCCACTGCCTGAAAGGACAGACTTGATGTGAAGCCTACAAATGATTCCAAGAAAAATCCTTGACGATTCTGGGTGCAGTGAACGTTCCCTGCAGGAAATCTCCCACTAGGAAGAGATATCCAGTTTAAGGCAGTGTGTTTAATTTCTCTAACTGAAAAAAATGATTAAGATTTCCCTTCTCAGGTACACTGCAGCATTTTAGGAAGGAGAACATGTCACAGACATGAACAGTCATGTCAGTGCCATGCAAAGGCGTAAGCACACATTCCCACACAGACTTATAGCATAAAACAGGTTGGAAGGGACCTCCAGAAGTTACCTGTTCAATTGCCTGGGCAAAGCAAGACTGGCTTCAAAGTTGTAAGACCCTATTTGCCCTCTCTCATCCCTCTTCTTCATTCCCTGCAATACTTTATTCAGCAGTTTGCCTGCAATGTCTTGTCCTGTACCGGGAAATCCCGTCAGAGCTGGGGGCACAGACACCAACCTGCAACACATAGTCTAGGGCCAGGTGCCGGAAACACTTTCTGGTTATGGTCAAGGTGCCTGTTGCCTCCTCCACTTCATGGGGCTTGTGCCGAGGTGCCTGGGCATTCTTCACCAGTGAAATCTCCATGTCCTCTCGCACCTTGTCAAACTGCTTCTTGGTTTCCTTGAACTTCCGGACGTCACTGGAACCCAAAGAAGATGAGATGGTGAAAATCATTGGTACAAAGCAGCCAGAACACTGCTGACACCAGCAGATGCAGGGAGAGGTGCAACCAGGCGCACTATGATCACTCAAAGATCCTGCTCCAGATGCCATTGGGATCCTAACCCACCCCACCAAGCTCTACTGTGTCCAGCTGGAATGACTCCAGATTAACTCCAGTCTTTCTTTGGAGACAGATGGCAAAGAAAGATACTGGACCTTACATACTGCCTACAAAGCCTTAAGGAAATCCTCCAAGGACAGCATCCAGAAAGCCAGGCCAGATGGCACCCGGCCCTAAAGATAGTCCACAACTTCCCTCAGAATAAGTGGTGAGCAGAACATTTCAGAACCTAACTGTGAAAACACATGCTTCATATTTCACTTTGTGAGAAGAATAAAACCAGGTACTTTTTGAATTCAGGCCAGAGCATTCAACTAGGGCAGCCAGGCCGTCCGTGTGCATCTCTAGCTGATTCTGTCTTTTCTGACTGTAAAATCCAAACGTTTGACTATTCTTTTCCCCTTTTATAATAGGCACATTTATTAACATTTGCCTTCAGAAATACATGATCCACAATATGGACTTTTAAAGTTTTTATTTATGCCTAGAGACCTCATGTGGGATCAGAGGTCTGCTTTGCCAGGGCAGGGGGGAAGCTATAAAGGCATGTCAACAGCCAGATATTTTTGAGTCAGTTTGGTTGGTTTTTTTAATGAAATAGCAGGTACCACTCAGGCAGGACTTGATTTGAGTTGCATGACCACAAAGAAGCGAGGACAGCAATTCCTGAAGATCAGCTCTTACAAGTGGCCCTGGCCCTTCAGGAGTTGAAAGCAGCAATGCTGATTTATAGCAGCTGTAACACTGTTTACCTCAGTTCTAAATTGTTGTAACTTAAAAGTAGTTAAAAACTGTTAGTAAATAAGTAGCATCCATTTATTCTTTGCCCTAGGGAAGATGAAGAGCCTCAGTTGAACATGATGGTTGGACATTAAACGCTGAACTCTGCCCTGTGGCAAGCTGTTTGAAGTTGCATATACTTGCCTCTGGCCAAGAGAGTCTACCATGGGCAGGTACAGTAAGGATAAATGAAAACAGAGGTGCCTGGATTACCACTCTGATGGTTGTTGCTTCTTCACATTGCCCTCAATGCTCCAGGCTGCTGAGTTACATGGCCATCTAGGTCCATACAGAGGAAAATAACAGAGTGACTTTTTGCATTTTTGGGGTCCCTTGCAGCAAAGGACTGTGGGGATTTTACATAGCTTTTGATCCAGCTTTGGAGAGGATGGCTTCCTCATCTGTGCATCTCCCCACAAGGAGGAAAGGAGCTCCTGGAAAGGAGCAGGAGTTTGGAGGCACCTGATACTGCTGGAAATTCTCAGATAGCTCTAAGCCAGGCTGCAGCAGCACGACTGCAACCTCAAGACTTAGCTAATAAAACTCTCCTACTCAGCCAGGTCTGTGCCTTGGTAATGTGCTAAGGCAATCGCAGGGCATCTGGCCACTGACAGCATGGGCAGGGCGAGCTGACCTCTCCTGTGCATACAACATAAATACACCTTCAGGGCTTGGGGACAGGTTAGAGGGTAAATATTGCCCCCTCAGATACATAGGAATCAGCATGCAGGGGCACAGGCCCCACTGTTCCTTTGTTCCCATCACCAGGAAGGTGCAGATTGGCCCTAGCTGGATTATTCAAAATGGTCCCAAGCATAAAAATTATTTTCCGACCAAAGGCAGGACCAATGCAAAGGTCAAAGCACCAGGGCTGGCAAGTGCAGAGGTTGAGCAGTACAGGCGCAAAAAAGAGTAAGTTGCAAAGATGCCGATAGGATGCCAGAGCCAAAACGAAGGTGAAATTCCCCCTTCCGACTGCCAGCCTTAAGCAGATTAAATCTGAGCTCATCAGAGAAATGATTACAGAGGAAGCAGAGGTAGGGTGAGTGCTAGGCAAGAAGAGAGGGATGAGGAACGGGGGGGTCAGCTAGGGACCCCCTCCATCCATCAAACCACACAGCTGCTGAGGGATTCACAGTCAATTACCAGTTCCCATGGCAACCAGCTCCTGCTTAGCTGAAGGCCTGGGTTGCCTCTCTGACCTACATTCAGCTCTGAACTCGGATCCATGCGGCACTGGTACCTGCCCTGGGGAAGAGAGGCGCTGGGAGGAAGCACGTTACTGCAGCGATGGTAGGGACAGCCTGCCGAGAGCCTTCATCAAAGGTACAGACCGCCCCTGTTCAATTCACTTCTTGGGCCCAGTTCTTCTGCACCTCAGGCCCGCCGTGCACGAATTAACATCCTTACTATGCAATATTCTGCATTGCTCACACCAGGGCACTGTAAACTTGCTGTCCATTAGCAAAGAACTCTGAACCAGTGGTCAAGCTCCAAGCTGAAGGCAGAGTGATGATTAGCTGCTCCCTCCGCACAAGAAGGGCGCTCCTGTCTGTAAGTCTGATCTTACCAAGAGATGCTCAGGTTATTCCAGAAGAGCAGGGCTGCTGTAATTGAGTGATTAAATGTTGTGTGGGGAGCTAAGAACACAGCAACTCTGCTGGACCCCAAAGTCATTTGGCAGCAAAATTCCTCCCTTCTGCAAGCACACACTGTTTAAACCACTGATGAAACTCTGCATCAAATGTAAGATAACATAGGTGTAGAGCTGACCCTGCTCTGCAGATTTAACCTAGAGGATTGGTGAGAAGCAGCAAAGATGGGGTCTGCAGATGAACTTTACCAGATTTGGGGATGATGCTCTGATCTGGAAGTATGCGACTTGATGATCTTACAGGTCTTTTCCAACCTAAACAATTCTATGATTCTATGTCCAGCTTTAACTATGAGATGGGAACAGGATGAGGACATCTGGTTGACAACAGAGCAACCAAATGACAGTGTAGCAAGATGACAGCAACAGCCATCAGACAAACCAGATCCCTTCCTCTGCCCTTCAGTGTCTGTTCTGCTCCAAGCAGAGCCTTCAGTAGTTGTGTGGAGGTTGTAGCTCTGTTTCCAGTGCATGAAGGACAAGTGCAATGGAAGTTCAAGAAGCTGAAGACCAAACTGATAAGACAAGTACTCACTCTTTCACGAAGTTGTGCAGCTGCTGCCGGACTGACCTCTGAGCCTGGTCAAATAGGATCTGAAAGACAAGAGAGGGAAAAGAATATAAAATATTTTTGCAACATGGAAACATTGAGGAGTCAGAAAATCCATGAATGCTGTCTAGTACCTTCAGCATGAGGGACTCAGCATTACTCCAGGGCTTAGTCTTGTCCATTACTGATGGCTGTCATAACGGATAATAACTTTTTTCTCTAGCTGCAGCACTCCCTTACAAGTGCAGGATCCCTGCACTGCAGGTTCCACAGCCTGTGGCAGAGCTCTGAATATCCCAAAGAGACCTATGCCACCAACATAGCTTCATAAAAGGAGTGTTTGTAAGGGGCAGTTGCCTTCATAGTCCCCACTTAGAGCTGTCTCTCCTGAGCCTCGAATTCCCTAAATTTTCAATTTTTTTTTTCCTCAAAATTCCTCCAATTTTGCCAGAGGAGGGCACTGTCACCTCAACACTACACCACTTCAGGAAGGAGACAGGAACAATCACTGAAGGTACATCACAGCCAGACAGACACTGATGAACATGGGTGAAAGGTCCAAGCATATGGTACAAAGAGACTTAATTCCTACAAGTCTTAAGTTTTACTCTCCTGTCTGTCCCTCATTAAAAAAAAAAATGGTCCCAAGCCTATTACTCTACACCCTCTGCCCACCTCATCTCCAGCCCTCCCCATCTTTTAGATGTTCTCCCTCTACCCTCTGCTAGAGGCCAAACAGTGATGTCTGCTCAGCCCCCTCCCATCCATCTCCGATGGGCAGAATTACAAATAACTCTGTATTTCAGACATGCATCAGGATGACACAGCAGTTTTGGCTAATTGGGACCCGATGGGCAGAGGCTCCCAGACCACATAGCAGGAAGTACACATCGTCCCAGGGCTACAGGGAAAAGCCACTGTCCATGCTGCAGCAAGAGTGGCCCACAAAGAATGGACAGGGACCCCGTCTGATTCCACCATGAGGAATACAAGGCCTGGGCACTGGCCCAAAACTTAATGATGCTCTGAAATATCACAGTGCTGGGGTCTGGCATCACTACAGCTGTTCGGCGTGAGTAACCCTGGCTCATTTGCTCCAACTTAACGCTGTGTCCTGAGCAGCCAATTTAACCTAGAGAGGTCCTGGAACACACAGTGGTAACCGTGTCTGTCTCCCTGAGGATGCAGTCACCAGAAGCAGCATTTCCCAACCCAGCATTTGGCCTTGCTTTCTCCCCTGAAATGACCAAAGCCCTTTCAGGGGAGGCTGCTTGACTGTTTGGGACTGTTCGCAACCAGGGAGCGTGAGGCTGACACGGGACTTCATCAAGGCACCTTCTCTCAGCAAGCAGTCTGTGTGAAGCCCTGCAGATTAAAACAAACAGCTTTTTCCAGTTTCCTTTCCCCCCCCCACCCCCCCTCCTCTTTGCGGCAAGCTTGGATTTCCAGTGGGAGTTTTTTGGGCAGCTTCCCTTGGCACCCCACCCACCATCTCTCCTTTCCTTTCCTGGCCACCTTCTCTGCTTCACTACACAGTTCAGGCAGGACCCAGGAGTGGTGAGAACCTCTGGGTCTCCTGGCTTTTTCCAAGAGGCAGGAACAGTCATCTTGTATCAGACCATTTACAGCATAAAAGAGCTGGCATTGCCTAAAGCAGCAGCTTTTTGGGCGGAGGTGGTGGGTTAACCTTGTCTGGCTGCCAGGTGCCCACCAAGCCACTCTCTCACCACCCTTCCTCAGGAAGGCAAGGGGAGAAAATAAGATGAAAAAGTTCATGGGTTGAGATAAGTACAGGGAGATCACTCACCAGTCACCAACACAGGCAAAACAGACTTAATTTAATAAATTGCCAATTAAAAACAGAGGATAGCGAAATACAAGAACAAAAATAAAACCACTTCCCTGCACTGGACTGTGATCCACGTTCCCAGCCTGAGCAGCACCCTGTCCACGACACCAAGATCTTGGCAGGCACTGCAGAGATCTGACATGCGACATACTCTGACGTGGTCACAAGCTTTAACCTTCTCATGCCCCGTAGTAATCTCCTAGCAAACACACTCCGGTTCATTCCTGACCCTTCCTTCCAGTGTCAACAGACTCGCACAGACACAGATGTCCTCCCTACCTAACATCTCCCACCAGGAGATAAGCAAGTTATGCTTTTGGCACTGCACAGGTGGGTGTACTCCTCCCAACAGAATGCAAAGCACTCTGCGTAGAAGCAGCAGCCTTGGCTGCAGAGCCTCAAACACATTCATTATGTGTATGGCTGCAGCCAAGGACAAAGCAAGAAACATGCCAGGACTGGCTGAGCATAAACAGCCATGAGCAGCCTCTAAATATGAACAGATGCAAAGCAAGGGGGAAAGAAAGAAAACCCCAAGACCACCCAGCTTTGTGTTTTTACCAATGTAAATTATTTACTGCTCTTGGCATCCATTTGCTCTCTCCAGCGGCACTCCAAGAGGCATTGGCCTGCAGCTTTTCCCGTGGAGCAGCTTCCTCAACTGATGTTTGGGCATTGCCAACGCTTGCTTCCACTCCTGATAGCATGCAGGGATAGGCAAGCAGCAAGAAAGCCATCTGCCATCTGGTTCCCACCTCCACCTGGAAAGTTTCCATAATTGTTTCTGCCAGGATGACACTTTTGCTTAGGATCAGGGAAAGGAAGGGACACTTATGTCAGACTGCAAACGAGTACCCTGGGACTTGCCAGGGAAGAATGGATTCCAGGGTACATAAAAATCAAACCACACAGCTAAGGAATGGGGCTTTCTCAGCTTGAGCAAATCCAGCAAATCCAGGCTACAGAAGGGTACGATGTAGTTGGGAACGAGTGTGATTGAAGAGCTTCATAGAAATGCAGGTTGTTCCCTGTTACATGATGGCAAGTAGATACCACACTAGGCAGCACAAGCATGGAGCACCTACAGCCACCCTACCATTCCTGCCTGGAAAAATGAGCTCCAATGATGGCAAGTAGATACCACACTAGGCAGCACTAGCATGGAGCACCCTACCATTCCTGCCTGGAAAAATGAGCTCCTAGGTGATGCCCTGGGGTATGGCATTGAAAGAAGCAAGCCAAAAAAAAAATCCACTGAGCACTCAGTATGAGGGACAAACTGAGCAAGATCCCAGGCCATACAGACCACCCTGGGAGTAGGGTACCGCCCTTGTCCTTCTGTAGTAGTCAGGCTCTGCACACCGGTGTCGGGCTGGGAAAAGGACAGATGCTTTGAGCAGCGCAAGTGAAGCATTTACAGAAGGTCTCCGCCTGCAGCAGGGTGGTGGTCTCCCAGCAGGGCACTTCCAGGCTTATGAGCAATGTTCTTCTCCTGCCACAACATGGGCTTGTTCTCAGGCTGCCTAGAAAGAAGAGTTCACTAAGGATTCAGTCCAGGTCTGAAAATCCAGAGTTCATAGAACTCCTTACTGAAGCTGTTTACTGAGAGGGAACTGAACTCGTGGGGATCACATAAGCAGTGTGCCTGTGGTACCAGGACATTTCTACGTGGAATTTTAAATATATCTATATATAACCACACCCACGAGGAAGACAGGCCATATACATCCTTTTCCTGCTCTGTCAGTGCTCCTCTCCCTTGCTCCTGTTATTGATGCACTGAGCCCCACGCCACTGTGATGGTGCCCTTCCTCCCAGTCTGTGCCGATTCGTACAGTGCAAGCCTGGGGCAGGGATTGATAAGTGGTTTGCGAGGGGATACCAGGTAAGGAATACGCCTTTCCTGCCAGCAGCATCTCTGCTGAGAAGCATCCTATAACAACAGCATTACTTTTATTGCTTCTTCATTAATTTTGCCAGGCAAGATCACCAGGGGAGTATTTTCAAATGGGTCCCCCATTCAATTTTTGTCACAAAATAAATGGAGTTTTAAAAGCTAGAGTTTCAAATATAAAATCATCCCTTGGCTTTTTCTCCTTTCCCAGACATACTTGGAACAAATCATTTAAGATTTTCCAGACCAAATATCACCCCACCCTCTCTCTTAGCTTCCACCAAGAGACAAGAAGTCCAGCCCGTGACTCACACACATCTGTGCCCGGGGAGGGTTAGCGTGAAAGAAGGGAGTTAACGCAGCTCTCGCCCAACAGCAGCAAATGGCCTGATCCTACGTTTCACTTTCCCAGCATGGGCTTCTGAGGCAACAGGATGAATCCCAACCTGCATTTGACAGAGAGCTTAGGAATGTCATGCCCCCCAAGAAATGAAAGCAAGTTCAGTGGCCCAGGATGTTATTCCTGGAACTGCAAACCTAAAAATCAAGATGCAGGGTATCAGAGATCCAAAGGGACGCCACTGCTACAGCACTCCCACATGACTCCCCGCAGAGCTTACAGGAGAAGAGGAGATCCCACCAGGCTCCAAAGCAAAGCAGAAGCTAAAAATAAGTGAGATTGCCGGGCTGCAGACTGCTTCTCTCAGCATTTACATGCATGAAGTTCCAAAGTAGGACATCACAGCTGCAGATGGGAATAGTGCTTGAGCAGAGATTGAAGGCAGGCAACAGCATTTGCGGTGGGAATTTGTCAGGGAGCAGCAGAGGCCATTGGACCAGGAGCTGAGGGATAATGCAGCAGGCAGGAAAGAGGCATCACCAGCCAAGGCTCCACCACACCAAGAAAGCAGGGCAGGTCCAGAGATGGTGCCCAGGTTCAACCAAGAACCCAGATCATCAGGCAAGTTTATGGTCACGAGGCAGGTCCAAGGCCAAGCCGGGAAGTTTGTCCACGTATCAGGGTCAGGCCCAGAGATTGCCAGGCAGAGCCATGTGACAAGGCAGGTCCAGAATCAAGTGAGAAAAATCATTTGGGAGCACCAGGGTCCATAGCTGGGCATGCCTGTAGCTCTGCTAGAGACCCATGCTCCTACAGCACAGCTCAAAACAAGACTGAAGGCCCCAGGCAGAGCTTAAATGCAGTGCCTGGTCCCTCAGGTGGTGTGTGTGGGTGGAGGACCCAGGTGAAGCTGGTCAGGGCCCCTAAGGTCTATTAGTGCACTGAGAGCCGTTGCCCACGA